GTGGCGGGAGCGGCGCGAAGGCTTCGGGGACTCGTAGTCCGGCGGGGACCGCGGAGCTGGGCTCCGGGAGGGGCGGACAGCGATGCGGGGACGGGCTGGGGGGGACTGCGGGGGGAAGATCGGTGTAAACTGGTGCAGAAATAGCAGCGCAGCCGTATCTGTTACAGCCAGTCCGGACTCTCATCAGGGAGTGCCGGGGTAGCAAACGCTCAACTGCAGCTGACCGAATTTCAAAAGCCGGGGTGACCCTAGCAGCCACGCCTGCTTCTGCTAAAAACCCTGGGAAACCAAGAAACAAAATAGCGCTGTGATTTTTCTAGAGGGTAATCTTACAAGACTATCAAGTAGTCTCCAGTTACATTCATGGGCTCGTGGGTGAAGGGGAACCAAAGTAGGAATTTCTCAATTATTAAACTGATGGTAGAGTTTGCCTAGACAACATTTTAACGGAAAAAAACCCCATACTCAAAAACATGTATTCTCTTTCTCTGACCCATTTCTGCAAGTCGTTGTTTTTCTGCTAACTGATAAGCAATGAAAATTACAAGCTCTGACACTGTGAGCAGAAGTTTGCTGGAATTCAGTGAACCATTCAGTGTAGTGCCTGAGCTGCAAATGAGCTGGAGTGATTTTCAGCCAGCTGGCAGTCCGGGGGTCTGAAAACTTGACAAAATTCGTCAGCCAACCTCAGAGAGTATGCCAGCTGATATAGTAGTCAAACACGTACGAGTGGTGTTGAAAATGAATTAGCAAACCACAAAAACAGTCTGAAATTTTGAGTGAAAAATATAACAAACTGCCTTTCAGCCAAAGCTGAGTGTTCAGGTACATGCCTTCCAAGTCTTCCAGCAGCTCCCACTTCCTTAGGACTTTTGTTAACATGGAAGTCACATGTAAACATACATAAACTATTGTTTTGCTAGTTTTTTCAAAGATCAGCTTAAGTAAATTACATAAACCCAAACTTGGTTAACCCGAAGTTAATGATTTAAGCCTTTTCGTGTCCGATTCTTGCATCCAACTCTGAGAAGCAGGAAAGTTAATGACAGATGTTGTATATAACAATGATACGGCTTTAAATCTTAGAGGTATGTAACACTTTATTAGTATTTCAAAGGACTATTCAAAGTTGTACATTTCAGGCCTGAAGCAACTCTTACCTTTATCTTCCCATCTGTCACTGTCCACTTGAGTTGAGCCGCAGGCTTTCTACCTGAAAGACCAAAATATGCGCCCGGTATGAGTTTGATAATATGGTGACAACACAGACTTGAGAGCATCTATAGCTTATGATGCTGACTGAATAGCTAACTTAACGAGTACTTCCAGGAAACATAAGACTAAATGTGACAAACAGAAGCTGAAATAAGTTGCACCAATGAATTAATATTTTTGCTACTACAAACTTTGTAGCTACATCTAGCCTGCAGCTTTTCGGTCAGAATAAGTCCCCATTTTGTGAATAGAGCTTTTCTAGCAAAACTCAGTTTAAACAAAGCCTCAGTTTTGTTCTATCTAAACTGTGTCTTAGTGTGCCTGGGACACTTGCATTACAACACAGATCCCTCAGCACAGTCAATTTGTCTTTGTATGTGTGCCCTTAGAGAGCTAATTTCTTCTCCCTGGCTTTTTGCTGTATCTGCTGCAGCAACTCCCCTTTGAGTTGTTCATTGTACTGGCTGGAAGCCATATGTGGCCGCTAAGCAAAACTGGCTCTGTAATGATTGTGTTTGTTTTTAATAATAACTGTATTATGGCTACTTTTAATTCTATTTAATTCTATGTTTAATGAAAGATAAAAAAAATGTAAAAATGTGGAGAATACTGCTCACTACCACCAACTAATTCATTGTTTATTTAATCATAATTTTAATGAAATATAAATGTGTATGTACTGTCAGGGAACAGTGACTTGTATGAAAGTTGTGTTTCACTGATGGCAATTTGAATTCAGACTATGGAGCTGCGAAGTGAAATAAAGTGGTTTCAAGCCAGAGAGTGCACAAATCGCTCTTCAGCCACCAGCGTGCATCTTCTCACTGTTATTTCAGTTGCCGAGGACTAGTATCCATACACTGTCCAACAACTTTCTCCAAAGAAGTACAGGATCCTCTCTGTGCTAAATGCTTCCAGAAGCAGAAGAGGCTCCATACTACCTTGGAGCAGTCCATTAGCAAAATGATTATTGTTGCCTATCTTCCATTGCATTATACATATTTTATACTGCAAGAGAGTTTGAGTTGGTTCCAAAAGCATTTCGGCTGTGAAAATATGATCTGAAACGCTCTGCAGCTGCGGAGTGTCTAAAGCTTTCCTTTCTGAATGGGAGGCAGATGAAACAATAGGGTACAGGCAAAGTCTTGTTCTGCGAAACAGATGCAATGGGGTAGCAATTGTCATCATGATAGGACCATCTCAAAGTAATCCATGTAAATACTCAGCCCTATAAAAGGAACGGTCCACTAATTAAATGCTAATAATCCAGGTATTAAGTCCAAGTTCTACACAAAGGTACCATTAAGTGCAAAATTCAAAGCAACATTGAGACAGCCCAGTGGTCTGATCCAGAATGAGCCAAGAAACCACTTACGGGTTTCATTATGCGCTCCATGGCTGAATCCTGCACTGCTTACTCTAGCAAATCTCCCCAGCAGAGAAACAGAACTTCAGGATCCAAACACATTCTTTTAAACACTGAAAATCAATAATAAAAATTTCATAAATATTTGGGATATCAGTTGTTATTGAAGGATTTCATTTTGGTTTTGTTGTGGGGGAAACTCTGACTTCTGTTCATTTGTGAAAGGAATGAAAAGCCATCACTGAGTCAGTTTCACAAATAAACTTAATTATACACTATGAAATGACTTGAACATGTGAAAAAAACATTTCTTGCTCAACAGCTCCTCCTATTGCTTACATGTAGCATGAGGCTATCAAGGCAGAATTTGTTTTCATGCATTGGCTACCGAAGCAAATAATCTGCTAATATAAACATGTATTCATTGTCTATTTAGTGTTATAATACACAGGAATTGGGTATATGTTGCCTGATATGGAGTAAAATGGGAAATTATTTTGGGTCCAAGAGAAAAAAAGCAACACACAACTTTCATTCATAGGCAATTTTCATGGTACCCAGAATTAAAATACAGAATAAGATATTGGCAAAAGCACTCACTTTTTGCTAGTCTGCACAATACCAACACTGTTAGCATTATAATTTCTTGCTTATAATACAAAACCAATGTTTTTGATTGTAAGAAGCCTCATTTTGTAAAGATACTTACAAGGATAACTTAAATAATAACAACAATAAAAAATTACTTCATTTACTCTAGTTGCAAACTGAATTTACTATTACTTTACCCTGGGATGAACAGTGAAGATACAATACTGAATGGGTCATTAGCTTTACTGGACAATTTCACTAACATGAAGCATTTAGTTTGATGGAAATTTCCTTGCAAAAATACTACAAAATCCGTAACATTTCTATTCTATAATATTCTCTGGGATGCTAAAATGTGGAGTATGCTTCTGTTATTACTTGCTGCATTCTGCTGCCTATTTGGAAAGTCTTCTCAGGATTTTCAGATTCAAACAGTGTTGTTAGCATAAATCAGAAGTGTACACTAATGTAGATTACTGCAGGTTAGTCCTTTCACTGCAGGTCAGAACACTGAAATTTATATCCAAATATTCCCAGAAGCCTACAGAGCCATCTCCCTTTTCTTCTGTTAATATCTAAAATCACAATAGAAAAAATAGTACCAATGATAACTATAAAACTGTCTTTTTGCATGTCAGGAATAAAATTGCAATGGAGTAAAATCTCTCGTGCTTTTCTTTTCACATGTTTTAAAGAAACAAATTCTAGAATATTCAGGATGTTCTTTGGCCATTACAGACACAGTTCTCCAGAGGAATAGCAGTATAGCAATATTATAAACTTTCTACAATAGTTTTGATAACAGGTAAATAAAGTTTTAGTTTTTCTGCCAATTAATTCTTTTTATTCTTTCTTTCGATCTCAGTTGATATAAACAACACTTTCTAATATTGTTTCCAGAATTGCAGCAAATGCCAAGCATTGCAGATGAATTCTGCTTTCTCCCTGGTAAAGCCATGAGAAATCATCTTATAGGAATTTTGTTCATCTTGCATCTCTGTTGAAGAGGAACATTTGCAGATGTGGAATGAAAATAGCAATTTTCCTCACAAGTTGTTCTTTTCTATTTTCCATGATTCTCAATTCCCATTCCTCATTATAGTACTTCGTGTGTAAAGTCTGATTTTCGTTTATTTTCTGGCAACATAAAGTGACCTTAGTGTCAGTGAGAATGAGAGTCACAGGATGCAGGGAGATTTCTGGAAGA